AAGGGGTGGGCGGGGCGAGCAGGCGCCATGCAGCACTGCGGATATTGGCCCATTAGCTAATCGAATGCCATGCCTACGGGAGGCGCCGGCACCTTCCGAAAGACTGACACGTCGGCCGACCGAACGACTCCATTGCAACGCTACGACACCCTGTTGCAGATGAACGCGAAAAAGACGGCTGCCGACGCCCTGTTGCAGATGGAGAAGAGGATGGTGGTGGAGGACCTCGAGCTGACGTCCCCCGTGCGGCAGAACGGCGGCGGCGGCCTGGGGCTGTGCCGCTCGCTCAGCCTGCGCGCCCCGGACCCCAGCACCCAGCTGCTGTCCGCCTACCGCAACCAGGACCTGGAGACCTTCAGCGAGCTGCTGTCAGGTACGGTGCCCGCCGCGTGCCCGCCGTGCAGGACGCGTGGCTAGGCGCCGCCGCTAACCTAATCACACTCATATTGCGCAGGTTCGCCTCCCGAGGTGGACCCGGACCACTGGTACGATGATCCCAACCATGCCACCATCCTGGACTTGTCCTGCCGGGACGACGGGCGCGTGGAGTACGTGCGCGCGCTGTTGGACGCGGGCGCGGACCCCAACCGCACCAACCGCGTGCGCAAGAAGGCACCCCTCCACCTGGCAGCCGAGGTGGGCAACATCGACTCCCTCGAAGTGCTCGTGCAGGCCAAGAACATCGACGTCAACAAGCAGGACAACACGGGCTGCACGGCCCTGCACCTGGCGGCCAAGGAGGACGTCACGCAGAGTGGACGGGCGCGCGAGGAGCTGGAGCACCGCTACCGCAGGTGAGAGGCAAAGATACGAGTGGGCTGCCAAACTTGGAGGGCAGTGTCTTGACAGTGGTGTCCTGTGCGCAGGTGCGTGCAGTTGTTGATGCAGCACCCGCAGATCAACCTCAACAAGCCCAACCGCAAGGGCCTCACCCCCGTGCACCTGGCGGCCACCCACGCCTCGGCCGACATGGTGCGGCTCATGCTGACGGGCGGCGGCAGCCGCCTCGACGTGGACGGCTTCGAGGACGCCCAGGGCCAGACGGCGCGACAGCTCATCGTCACCAAGTACCCGCAGCTGGAGCGGATGCTGGGGCCACCTGCAGATGGCGCCACCGCCACCCTCACGGCCGACCGACTGTTCTTTTACCTCTACAGTCGCGAGAACGCCAACTTCCTGGACGCGCTCGCCGCCGCAAGTTCGAGCGAGGTCGACACCCAGCTGCTGGACGCCGACGACGGTAGCCACACCCTCATGCAGCTGGCCAGCGAGGTAGGCCAGGCCGAGGTCCGCGACGGTCTCCGCGTACGACAGCGCGCTGCAGCGGTCTCACGGTGATTTGCAATGTTCCAGGCGGGCCTGCACGACGTGGTGGCCGCGCTGCTCGAGGGCGGCGCCGACCCCAACCGCACCGTCGGCACGAACCGACGCAGCCCGCTGCACACGGCGTGCCACCACGGCTACTACCGCGTGGCGCGCACGCTCGCCGCGCACGAGCGCACGGACCTGCACGCCCGCGCGCCCGGGGACACGCCGCTGCACGCCGCCGTCAAGGGGGCGGCCGAGTGCGGCGGCCTAGCACTGGCCGCGAGCCGCGCGGGCCGAGACCACCGCAAGTGCGTCCAGGTGCTGCTCGCCAAGGGCGTCGACCCCAACGCGGCCGACATCAAGGGCAACATGGCACTGCACTACGCGGCGCGCAACGGCGACGCGGACGTGGTGGCGGCCCTGCTCCGGGCCGGGGCCTACATCGGCGTGAGGAACTGCTTCGGCGAGCCGCCCCTCGCCGACGTCTCACCGCGCGCCCTCGAGGCGTACCTGGACGAGTGTGTCGTCACCAACGACCTGCTGCCGCGGGAGGACAACTACGAGGTCATTTTCAAGTACAGCTTCCTGGCCGGGGCGCACAGCGCGCAAGGGTCACCGCCTCAGGTCCAGAAGCAGGATGTGAGCGTGAACGTGGAGGAGGACGCCAAGCGGCTCATGGGGGGACGGCAGCCCGCCGAGACACTCGCCTGCGAGACGGACCCGTTGCTTTACATGAGCAAGTCGGCCGACTTGCGCTACCTCCTCAAGCACCCCATCATCACCAGCTTCCTGTACCTCAAGTGGCAGCGCATACGGGCCTTCTTTTACGTGAACCTGGCCTTCTACGTGGCCTTCTGGCTGCTGCTCACGGCCTACGTGCTGACGGGCTACAGCGAGCAGCCGGGACAGGGTCTCATCAGCGAGGCCCTCGACGGGGAGGCGCCGCGGACAGGCGACCAGCACAACGCGTCTGCCAAGGGGTGAGTCGACGGGGAAGTCCTCCCTGTGACAGCTAGCTAGCTAGCTAGCTAATCTAGACTCAGCTCATGATAAAACTCGCCCCGTCTGTTCCAGAATCGCCCCCGCAGCGGCAGACACCCCCGTCATGGCCGCAGCCAGTGCGGCGCCCCTCGTCGCCTCGCTGCTGGCCTTCTTCCTCCTGCTGCTCGCGATCCGCGAACTGTTCCAACTCCTTGTGTCGCCGCAGAAATACGTGCTCAACCCCGAGAACTGGTTGGAGGCGATGCTCATCGTGGTGACGGCCGTGTTGCTGCTGTCCCGCCAGACCAACTCGTACAGCCGCCAGCAGCTGTCGGCCGTCGCCATCCTGCTCTCGTGGGCCGAGTTGGTGCTGTTGATTGGCCGCCACCCGCTGCTCGCAACCAACATCGAGATGTTCAAGACGGTGTCGCTCAACTTCCTCAAGTTCCTGGCATGGTACTCGATCCTCATCGTGGCGTTCGCGCTCAGCTTCTACACGCTATTCCGCGACTGCGGCGGTGGCGGCGTCAACGCCTGCAAAGACGACGGGGACGAAAACTTCTTCCTCAGCCCAGGCATGTCCGTGTTCAAATCTATTGTCATGCTGACGGGCGAGTTCGACGCAGGCTCCATTCCCTTCGTCTCGTTCCCCGTAACGAGTCACATCTTGTTCGTCCTGTTCGTCTTTCTGATAGCCATCGTGCTCTTTAATCTGCTCAACGGTTTGGCTGTGAGTGACACGCAGGCCATTCGCGAGGACGCGGAGCTTGTAGCCTACGTGTCACGTGTCAAGCTTGTGGCCTACGTAGAGAGCATGTTGGTGGGTGCGGGTCCACAGAGAGGCGTGGCCGGTTGGCTGAGCCGGCGCATCCGCTCCGCGTTGTGCGGCTGCTTGAACACGTGCAAGAACGTGTGCATTGCGAGAGTCAACTTGTTTCCCGATGTTGTGCCCGACCACCAGATCCACGTCCTGCCCAACCAGGGGAACCGAATCGAGTTCGCAACGCGCGGTAGCTGCAGCCGCAACAGGGCCATGTCGCTGGACGAGGACGAGCTCGGCGGCTGCGCGGTGCAGTGCACGCACATGTCCATGGACCCCGCCATCATGAGGGACATCAAGGAGCTGTTCTTAAGACGCGTCGAGCAAACCGAGGTCAGCCACATGCAGAAGACCATCGACCAGTACGAGAGGGAAATTCAAATATATGTGGAGCGAATTAAGCACTTAGAAAATTCGCAGAAAGAACTGATTGATCTTCTCAAAACTAACCGACAGGGCAGTCCATCTTAAAGTCTCCTAGATTACTTAAAAGTTAAAAGACTTTGAAAAGGTTTTGTACCATGGTTATCAGAATGAATTGACATAAAAATTATGCATGAATAACTTTGTATGAGAATCTCATCTGGATTAACCGGATTTACTTAGTGTTAATAGAAGCAGAAAGACAAACAAACAGTTTCCCACTACATGTTCCCATTTTGTACTTTAGGTTTCTATGTATTT